ATGTGACGGTCAATCCCACTATTCGTAGGTAAAAGAGTAGCCCAGGAGTTGGCGGTGGGTGGTGATGACTAGCTGTCTTCCCTCTTGTCTTACACTGCTAAATTAGGGACGGCTAACGCAGATAGCCCTCGTGTAGCTTTGCGCGAAATTCAAAATAAACAAACAAACTCCCAGTGGCACAGCGGTATGTCTGCAGACTTACAACGCTAGAAACCGGGTTTCAATACCCATGGTGGTCAGAGCACACATAGCCCATTGTGTAGATTTGTGTTTAACTTCAAACAAACTTACCACTAAAAAGAGTTGCATCGCATCAAATACATTGGAAGCAGATCGATCAATATGTATTTTCATTAGATTGTATTAGTATAGATGGCGTTGTTAATATTGAGCAATATGATTTTTGTTTACATGTGGTAATGTGTTTGCTACCGGCGAGAACGAGGAATCTTTCATTGTTTAACTTTGAACACTGACTTATAATAAAACTGAAATAAAGTACAGTTATTCTAGTTAATGTTGTTTAGTTCAGTGAAATGTTTGAGTTCATTAATAAAACAATAATAATACTTTTTCATAAGGTTTTTCAGGCCTTATTCAGTGTTGGAATTTTTTCCCCTTTTTTCTTATAATAGTTTTGATTTATGAAATGAGTGAAAAAAAGAGCATCAGAATAAGCATTTTTTTAGTACACTTAGCTTGATTTATAAAAGCAAAAACTGCAATAATGTTTCTTATTCTTACTAGGAAGACTTACTATTATGGTGAAGATATCAAACTGGTGTTCATGTTGTGAGAAAGTTGAGGTCTAAACTGAAGAGATTACCGAAATGAAGCCTTGAATTAAAAGATTTTACAGGTATGTACTGTATATGTTAAAAACCCACATGCAGACTTATTTTTCAGCATATTTATATTTATTTTAGAGTAATAGTCTTATTTCTATTTTCTTGTAATATTTGTGTTTATATATCTACATATAAAACCTTTTGCATCTATATGTATTTATCATTTTATCTTTCACTCTCTACCTCTCAAAAAACACAATAAGTATAAAAGTTAAAACTATTGTATCCTTAAAGTTTCTTATATTGACTTTTAATTCTAGATATAATGTTGGAACTATAATCCAAGGAAATCTACAAGAGATGTTAGAGTTATGGAAACTATTAAGCACAGTAACTGTGTCAAAACAGGAGTAGTTGGAACATTAGATAAGAAAGGTGAAGACTTCAATAAAAAAGGTGCACATAGTTTAGTCAACAATTGTAAGATGACTTTATCTGGCAGTGCAGTAGCCACATCAAAGAAGAAAGTGAAACAATGCTCTTTATTGGTAAAACAGTTCACCTATGGAAAAAATATTACTGGTGTTGATGATATAGACAAAAATCAATATAGAAAAATGTCAACAAAAAATAATATGCTACTTCACTCTGGAAAAGCTCATTTGCATGATTCAGACTCTTTAGTTAACAAAGATAAGTTCCATTCTTTGAAAAATAATTCAAATATGAAAATAATAAAAAATTTTCTTTTAGTGATGATTTGCAACAGAATGAGAGTCTTGAAGAAAATAAAGGTGAACATAAGTTGGAAAGTGTTTCTCTAGGTGGAGCTTCTGTGAAAAGCAGTGATGTATGTGTAGCTTCAAATGCTTTTTTTTGCCCTAGTGAAGTTGGGTGTTCAAGTAATGAAGAAGTGTTTAAAAAACTACCAGAAACTACCTGTCACTCACAAGTTAAAACAAATTATGTTAACTCTAATTTGGTTGTTAAAAATATCATTGACTCTTATTCAAGTAATGATTTTAATCATGAAATTAATGAAATAAACACAAATGATACTAATGAAATAACTGTTTTAAAGTGTGGAGAAATGTCAGATGAAAACATGTCAAAGAATAAATTGGAAGTTGCAAACAACATTGGTATGGAAATAGTTATTGATGGTGATACCTCTGTAGGAGAAGGTTTGTTAGGTGAATTGATATATGTAAGTAATGATGATAAAATTCACAGTCAGTCTTTTGATATTCCTATTTATAATGTTAAAACTGTGCCTAGCTTAACTAACATTGCCAAAAAGGAAGAAGTCTCTGGGCAAGTAAATGTTTCCTGGGGAAACAAGACTTCATGTTTGGATTCTAGAGAGAAGGAACAAAACTCAATAGATAACTATATCAAAGTAGAGGAAAATGGTGGAAGGCAAAGTTGTACAAAGACTAATCAAAATGAGGAAATGTTCAAGAATATTTTAAAGCAGGTGAGTCAACAACTGAATCAGATGCATCAAGACACTTTGGCAAAATCAAGTAATTCTCAACTTCTGGAAACTCTACCTCAGATCGTCCCCACATCTTCAAAGGAATCAAACTGTGTATTGACTTCTCATACATGTTTATCAAAACCAGGATCAGCTAGTAGTCTGTTAGACCTAGCCAAAAAGTTCAGCTTAAAGGATAATAGAAGTAGGAGATCCAGTTGTATGAGCACTGTATCCTGTTGTAGCCCTAGTATTATTGGTGGATCTTCACAGTGTGCCAATTCTATGAAACAACCACTGAGGTTCGAACCTACTGATTTAGATAAACCATCAATACCAAAGATATTGAACTCACTAAAAACTACAGTTGACATCCCTGAACTACATAGATCACATTCAGATGCACAATCATTCATGTGTAGCGTTGAAAGTGTTCTGCCACATATACCAGTTCATGAAGCAAGGAGGAGGTAGGTCAATATTTTGAAATAAAATAAAATAATGGATACCCTAAAATAATACTATATTTAGTTTTAGCATTCTTGAAGTCCTGTGCTTTTCTCTAAAGTTAGAGAGTGTGGTATGCATAAGTAATGAGATCATAATTAGAAACATGTTAAAAATATCCACATGTCCACTGTTTGTACAGTCACGGACCTATGTGTAGGTGCTCATAGGACAATAATACAATCATTATCAACAAGTACAAAAAAAAGAAGTTATTGATAATGATGTCATTTAAAAAGTGTAAAGTAGATCTGATTATTAATGACATCAGATTCAAAAAGATGCTTTAACATGTAATATAACATTTTTTAGGACAACAGAGGGCTTGTTGGTTCATTGAGACTGTTCCATCCACTAAACTAAATGCAAAAAAAAACAAACTCATAGCCAGTCTTTATCATTTAAATATTTATCAAGCCTTCCTTTAAATTTACTGCATCCACCACATCTGAAGATAACCCATATGAATGTAGGAATTTATTTTATTTTAGGTAGACTATTGAAATGGAATTTATTAAAATGATTTGAATTTAATTTAATTAAAATTGGATTTGAGGCTCTTTTCCAACAATTTAATGTTCTTTTTAAGGTAAGGAGCCCAATACTGAACATAGTAATCCAAATGAAGCCTACACAGTGACATATACAATGAAATTATAACCTCTTTAGAATTATATTCAATATTTTTGTAAATACAGCTTAAATTTTTATTTACCCTACTACTAGTAACAGCATATTGCTTTGGATGGCTTAAGAGATTGATGAACCAAACCACCAAGATTCTTTACTTTTGTAACACTTTTAACTTTATTCTGATCAAAATTGTACTTATAATTCAAATTATGATGACCCTCATGCATTACTTTGTATTTATTATAATTAAAAACTGTCTACTGTTCATTTGCCCAACTAACCAAATCTAAATCCTTTTGTAAAGCAGCAGCATCCTTATCACAACCAGTAATACCCAAGGACTAAATATCATCAGCAAATATAAACAATTTATTGTCATTGATTTAAATCAAAAAGAGCAAAGGTTCTAACACTGAAACAAAAGGTACCCACTTGCGACATTAATCACTTAAATTTAATTATAACAAACCTCTGCATTCTTCCATCCAACCATTTGTTTTTTATCAATTGAGCAAACTTATCCCCAATACCCTTAAAACTATTTCTGTGCTTTGTTTCTACACTACACTTTTCTCTATATCTAATTTTTTCTGCATTTAGTTTATCCTGGTTCTCTAAGACATATTGCAACAGTCAGCACATTAATAAATCTAACCTAACCAGAGATTGACTCCAGAACACCTATTCAGTACTGTGCTTTAAGACCAATGCTCTATCATCTGAGCTACCAGAACTAAGTCAAAGTATGGTTAGCCATTATCTTGAACATGGAAATTATAAGTAATGAACTCTCTTTTTTTTTCTGTTGTTAGAAAATGCATAGATAATACTGGATCTTGAGAAGTGTCTGTTGTAGTTGTTAGAAAATTAGTTAATTGTTTTAACAGAAATGTGAAATTAGTTACCGTATTATTGAGTCATTATTATAATTCAGGCTTTGGAATAAGGAATTTTAAATGTTGGAAAGGCTATCTAAGGACTTCTCTTAAAACATTAAATGAACTACCATATTTTTCTGTATATAAGACTCACCAGTGTATAAGATGCACCCTTATTTTGAAGACAAAGTTTTGGGGAAAAAAAATCTACAGTCGCATTTGAAAGATTTCTATTGAACAAAAATTCAATTTGATACTTTAGAAATTAGTATATATTGTTCTAAACACAAAAGAGCTCAAAACATCAAAATAAGAAAATAACGTAAATCAAAAAAAGGTTTACTGC